GGAAGTCATAGACCTTTCTGAACCGGTCTACGAATGAGGAACAGCAGAAGATATCGTCGAGCCACGACGTTAAATAAAGCGCTTCTTGGGAGGCAACCCATGCACGGTATATTTTTTCCTTCTTTTTATTTTCGTAGAGTGTGTGTGTAAAATCTTTTCAAAAAAAAATATATATAATTTTGAGCAAAACCCGCCCGGGTATTCCTACAACCCGGTCGGGTATCAGCACAAAAGGAGAATACCCGGCCATTCCATCCACCGGGTAAAAATGAAAAATAAAAAAAAAATAATAAAAACCCGACCGGGTATGTAGACAACCCGACCGGGTTTTGGCATTTTTTTCGCCCCTGGGAGCTACTGTCAAGCGTACCCATTCGGGTATCAACCAAAAAACCGGCCGGGCATCAAAAAAATTAAAAAAAAAGTGAAAATAGCCTAATACCCGACCGGGTATTACAAAAACCCGACCGGGTATTCAGCTAAAACAACATTCTGCCTTCCAGAAAAGCAAATACCCATTCGGGTATGACAAGAAAACCGGCCGGGCATAAATAAAGGAAAAGGCAAAAAAAAATAGCCTAATACCCGACCGGGTATTACGAAAACCCGACCGGGTATTTAGCCAAAAAGGCTTCTGCCTACGGGAAATGGAATACCCATTCGGGTATTTGTGCGAAACAAGCCCTTTTTACGGGATTTTCACCCAAAATCCTTCCCCAACCCCCCATCTTCTTCTTCTTCCCCAAACAAAAAAACCCCCAAACCTCCATAGCCAAACTTTCCAAGCTCCAATCCATTCCAATCATCCATCTAAATCCCAAATAAACTCCATTTTCTTCTTCCCCACATCATCCTCTCCATTTCTACACCCACAAAAAACCCCAAACATCCCAAAATCCCCAAATCCGAAAAACCCTATACCCAAATCCTCAAGGTCCAATTTTCCCTCAAATTAACCCAAACCTAACCTCATTTCTTCTTCCCCACATCATTCTCTACACCTCCACACCCTCAAAAACACCCAATTCCCAAAAGGCCCACATTTTTCACTCCACCAAGCCCCAAGTCCGAAAATCCAACCCCAAAGTCCAAGAAAAAGTTAACTATGGCACCTAAAAGGACTAGAGCATCTTCCTCCAACTCAAGTGCTCCAATTCCACAAGTTCCGGGATATGAAAGCATCGAATTCACGTCTAGGGCTCATCACAAGAAATTCCTCACCCAACTCAACCGAGAGGTACATTCCACACGATTTCTTTGTCATGAAACATTGCGAGCATTGATGTTGTATGATATGATGCTAGAATTGTGCAACAACATAGGACTTACTACATTGTTCCACATGTCCTATAATATCTACAAAAGAATCATGTATGAGTTCCTAGCATCGGTTGAATTTACTGAGGATATAGAGGACACCTATGAGAGCAAACTCACGTTTCGGTATAACAACATACCAAGAACTTTAACGAAACGTGAGTTTGCCGAGCTATTTGGTCTACCGGTTTTAGGTGTGGAGGAAAGAAAGGTAAGAAGTGATAAGACCATTGTGCATGATTTGTGGCGAAGAATGACAGGGGTTAGGGTGTTTAAATCTTCACATATGCATATTACACATGTTCAACACCCTGCCCTTCGAATCGCACTAAAATGGTTTGGGTATCATGTCTTTGGGAAGCTAAATAATCATCAAACAAGGATTAGTGAATTGGTCGTTCTTGCTATGGGTATCTTCCCAGAAGCTCCTAGATTAGATCTTGCTTCAATTTTGTGGGACCATTTAAAAAAGGAATGTGAAGCTATGAGTGAAATTTTCATAGGAGGGTACATACATCATATATGTACCAAATTTGGCTATTGTGCAAATCGACAAGTTCAAGATTGGAATTTCCTTAATCTTAAGTTTCTACTCACTGCACATGACGTGAGTCACTCCCACACCATTGGGACCACAGCATTTTACCATTGGACCATTAACCCCTCACCCACACAACTTTTTACAATCCCCTTCGATGAACTTCCAAACATCTTTAACCATCAACTCGGGGATAGGAGACATCTTTGCCTACCCGGAACTACCCCTGACCACTATCTTTATGACATTCCTCAACTTGAGCCACCACCCAGCCCCGAACAACCACAAGAAGAGCCACAACCTGATCCCCAACCCCCTCAATACACCCCCTTTGAACAACAAATGCTGGCCGGTATACAACAACTCAATCTTAACCAAACGGCAATGAACACACGCATTGACGATCTCTACAGTGCGTACCAAAGGGTGGAAGACGATCAAAGACGGGCCTTCGGGCCTATTTATGCATATTTTGACCAGCAAGGGTACTTTTCCCACATGCCCTCTCCAGTCCAACATCCTACATGGTATGACCCCTCACATTGGGGTAATTTCAGAGGATCTAGCTCCGGAGGAGGTGGACAAGCTGGCGGTGATGGTGTTGACAGGGATTTCGGATGTGGTGATGGCGGATATGGCGGCAGCTCAGACACAAACGATGAGGAATACCCATATACAGGCGATTTTCATGACAGCTACTATGGTCAGGGTGGATTCTTTGATGGAGGAGATGCGGGCGGGCACTAGGGGCAGTGCCATTAACTAGCTGGGGGGGAGAACTATTCTGGTATGCTCCCATTTCATACTCTTTATTCTTGCTATATAAAAAAAAAATTAAGCTTGTTAGGTTGAAAACCCAAAACGGGCAACTTAAGCAAAATAAAAGCAAAAAAGAAGAGTGAGTTGGGGAGAATTAAAAAGGAAAATGTGGGAAGCTGGGATGAAAACCCGAAAGGGCACCTAGGCAAAATGAGAGAATGAGAGAAAGTATTTCTTTTGTATTTGCAGGATCCTAAGGGTACACATAAGGAGCAAAAGAAGAGAAACCCAATGATGGTGAAGACCTTTTATTCATGTGTTTTGATCATTGAAACATTCTTTTATGTTGATTTTCAAAAACACTTGTGAATGGTTGTAATTGCTACAATTGTTGGTTTGGAAACTTCATGGACATGATTTGTTTTACTCGAGACGAGTAAAAGTTCAAGTGTGGGGGTGTTTGATAGGCACTAGTTGTTAGTGCCTAAGTATACATTTTTATTATTGTTTGTAATGTTTATTTACTAGTTTTGTGCAAGTTTATAGTTGTTAGTTTGCATTTGATTGTAATCGTATTTCTAGCATTTTATTGTTTGTTGTAAGTTGTAGTTAGTTTGGCTATAAGTTTAGGATAGGTTTGGAAGTAAAAAGGATGAAGAAACCTGAGTTTTGTGCAAAACCCGGTCGGGTATGGACTTTACCCGGCCGGGTATGAAGTGACAAAGGAAACTGCTGCAAAACTAGCAAATACCCGGTCGGGTATTCCATATACCCGGTCGGGTATTCTGTGATTTCGGACCAAAGAACGTGCAGAAGACACAAAAACATGGGGAAATATTTGATTTGGTAAATACCCGGTCGGGTATGTCAAAATACCCGGCCGGGTATCCGGCATTAGGTGTTGAAAACACCTATAAATAGCTCCATTCTCCTTCACATTTCATCATCCCTTCTTCCATACTCTTTAGCTCAGTTTAGAATAGCATTTCTTTATATTTTTCTAGCTATGTTTAGTCTCCAAATGAGGAGCTAAACTTCCATTCTTGGTGTTGCTCTTGAAGCTTGTTGATTATTAAAGTTGTAAGTTATTTTCTTAAACTTCTTTCCTTGAATATTAATTAATAGTTCTTTCATTAATACCATCTCTATATTAATGTTGGGGAGTGTTGCTAAGATGACAATTAGTTAACATCTCGACATTAGTTAGAATGGTATTTTCTTCCTCTATATTAATATTGAGGAGTGTTGCTAAGATGACAATTAGTTAACATCTTGATATTAATTATAGTAGGATTCATCTTCATTAATAATATTCTTCCTTGAATATTAATTAATTCCTACTCTTATTTCATATTAATATTTTGAACATGACTTAAAGGATCAACTAGTTTTGTTTCATATATTAATTATTACTAGAAACGATCAACGAACCGATGGTTAATCGTTGATGGTTTCACAAGTAAGTAACTTCGGTTTATTAATGCACGGTCGTGGTTAATAAACTTAAGAGGGATTAATTTTGTTGGTTAAACCGAAATCGCTTGTGTTGAGGTTATCAATCTCAATTGATTTCATCAAGGAGTTAGAAAGATTAAATGCTACTATTAAATCGGTATAAGGCGTTGTTCTATATTTGATTAATAGTAAGGGTTATTAATGAACGGTCGTTGTTAATAACTACCCTCGATGAAGTGGATATACTCCCCGATTGAGTATTCGAGAGGGAATAAGTTATAGATATAACAATGATCGACTAAAATATATCAACAAGTGGAAAGTAGCAATGTCAAGTCCTTTTATCTTTGAATTAAACACATATAGGTTGTTCATCTTAGTTCTTAATTGAATTAAATCACTCAAACCAAAACCCCCCTTTTAATTACTAGTTTCATAGAAAGAAAATCATTCATTTCCCTGTGGATACGAACTCTACTACGCTATACTACGTATAAGTGTTTAGTATTGAAAATTATTTTGACGCACCGTGACAAAGTGCTCGTCAGTATGTGATGCCGTGTGTTAAGAAAAAGTTTGATGAGCCTATTATCTTTTACTCCCACGCATCAAAGGAGCTAAAGAACATTTGGCTGAGTTCGTTTAAGGTAACACTAGTTATTTCGTTATTTTGTTATCACCTTGAGTATATGTGTACTTTGTAACTTATTATAATGATGAATCATCTAAATTAAGGTTTCATTTTTTGTAGAAAAAATATACATGGAGAACTGAACACGACCACCGCATCAAGAAAAACTTTAACAAGAAGGGTTCAGATGGTTTATCACGCGCTTTAGCGTCTGCAAGAAACAAAGGAAAACAGCCTGTCTGGATAATTTTGCCCATCTGGAACAATATGCTAGGGCAATGGACTTCCCAGAAATATAAAAGCAGATGTAACACCAATAAAAAAAATAGGAATTCTGATGTCGGGGTGACGTTGCACATGGGAGGGTCCATTCCCATTTCTGAGCATTGTAGACGATACGTAAGAATTGTTATTTCATTATTTCGTTTTAAAAAAATTGCTCTTATGTGCTAAGAACAATTTTGTAGCTCAAACAATTTATATGCACAGGAAGAAAAACATATATGGTGTCTCCGCACCGCCCGATGTGATGTTTTTGATCACGCATACGAAGAAGGAAGATGGTTCATTTGTCACACCGAAAGCGCAGAAAGTGTTTGTGAGTTTAAACTTAAGCTAGTCTAGATTATCTCGATTGTAACTCACTGGTCATTGATTAATATTATTATGTGATTTTACTTTGAAGTTTTCGGGCAGTACAAAAAACATATACATTCTCAAAATCAGGGGTTTTCTAGCTCACTTTAAAAATGGGTTCCAAGCAGCCTTGAGTAGCCAAAGTACACTAAAAATATTATATTACAAGTATTTTATTGCTCTGTTAGGAAGCTTCCAGCCCGCAATGGGGCCTTTCAATTCCATGGTAGTGTACTTTACCAAATAGAGAGGTAGCATATTCATGGAGTCCAGGGAGGACAAGGCGAAGAACATTGAAATGTAATAGATTTTGTAATGATATGTAAAATAAGCTCCTTAAATGTAAAACCAGTGGTGTTGTGAGATACTTGATACCTGAGATTTGTTTGTTATTTACTTTGTCAAATTTAGAAGTTTTAAGTGATTCATATAGGGTCATTTTTTGTTCATTTGCAGGAGTCATATGAGGAGCTGAAATCAAAAGACACAACTGCTAAACCTCAGGATTTGATGCTAAAGGCTGTCGGTGGACGAAAGAAAGGCGGCAAAGTTTCTGGATATGGTTCCGCTAGTATGTACTATTTTCCATGTACCTCCACTACTCAAGATCATTCAGAAAAGTCATACGAAGATAACTTATGGAAGCAGCGAATGAGTGAACTTGAGAAATCCAATAATCTACTTTTGGAAACAAACAAAGAGCTCCTACAGTTTAAACAAACTGCTTCAGCTACCATTGACCAAATGCAGCGTTCGATGTGCATGTTCCAACCGTCACAAAGCATGTTCCCAAGTATGTTTCCACCTCAAAATATTCAGCAAGCTTCGGTGATGGGTTTGCTTCCACAACATCAACAACAAACTAGTTATATGAATGATCTTCTGAAACAACCTCAATTGGGATCTTACATGAGTATGTTAATGCCACAAGCTCCACAAGCAATCCATGCTACCAACAATGAACCGAATCGACCGGGGACTGGAAGTCAAGATGATGAGGATGAACTTTCTTAGAATTTGCATTTATGATTGATTCAATTTCACATTTGAACTTTATTTGATGTGCTTGAAGATATTTTGAATGGTTGGTTGTCATGATATTTTGGTATGAATGTTTTGAAGTAATTGAATATTCAGAGCTTTTTTTTGGGTCTTTTTAGTATTGATATAATTTGCTATTTCAAATTGGCTTTATATCATGGATGTGTGTGTAATATATATACATGGACGTGTGTGTAATATATATACAAACATCCAAATGATATTCAGGAAGTCAGTTCCTTTCTATTAATTACTACTGTATTTATTTACACTTTTTTTGGAGTGGAACTAAGTCCCTCTCTGTTATAATAATTATATTATTAAAATACTGATACTACAAGGAATCATGTTCCTTTCTACCATTTTTTGTTTTGTCCTTCTTGCCATTTTTGAAAGGAACATTTACAAAGGAACTTAGGTAGGAATTACATACTATGACTTTAGAGAGGAACTTAGGCAGGAACTACAAATTAGCAAGGAGGGTTTTAGAAGGGAACCATACTTCCTATCTATTTTCCTATCTAACCTATTTAGAGAGGAATATAAACTATTTGGGTAGAAATTTGATTCCTTTCTAATTACTCTTTTTCTAGTAGTGAGCTAGCTATCTTTCAAGCTAAATTAATCAAGGAATAAGAGATAAACTCACACTTTGTAAAATGAATTAACTTAGGCTATAAATAGCCAAATACAATGCTTGGTAGTAGGAATAGATTAACTTGATGTAACAACCTCCTAAAGTGTAGCCATGCTGCACGTATAACGACTCCCTAGTTAATGGATCAAATATAGTAACTCCTAAAATTATGCTAACTACTTGACTTATTCAAAAACGAACAAAAGCATCAACAAATAATAATAAATTGTTTCCTACGTATGCATGTCCACATAAGCTCTCATGCACACGTTGGATCACTTTAACCAAGGGAAACGGTGTTGTTAGCATAATCTCCATGTTAATTTACCAAGTAATAAAGAAATGGCTGGTGGTCAACTAATCTCCATAATTACTCCCTCCATCCCATTTTATTAGTAAAAAATATTAAAAAACAGATTTTGAATATTTGTAATGAGATGAATTGAACACTATTTTTTTAAAAAATAATTTTCATAAAATAATAGCGTAAAATGTAGTCAAAGTAGAGCGCGTGAATAGTATAAAATTCAACATGTTGCGATTAAAACGGAATGGAGGATAATATGTTCTGTCTTATCATCATTGATCCGCTTCATTTTCAAGACAAAGTATCAATATATCTGAAACTTCTGCGTGTTACTCCTTAAATATTACAGTGTTGGGCAATATGATTAACTGGTCAAACACATCAAATCGGAATAAAAGTGTAGTTATTCAATGCTAAAGTGCATTTTCGGTATAGGTAAAATGTGTATAAAGTTCTTATACATTAAATCTTGACTTACTTGTCAAAATAGGATTTAAAGTTGGTCACTTTGCACAAGTAGGACAAAAAAATAAACTATGTTTCTTAGGAGTAATTATGTGTATGTTGGACAAATATACCCTTGTAGCTATTGAAATGTTTTAATTCATAATAAAATAATAAAATATAATAAAAAATAGTAAAAAATGCTAAAAAATTAATAAAAATATTTAAAATTAATAATTTTTTTAAATTAAATTTTCTTTAAAAATAAAAAAAAATGCAAAAAAAACGTCACCGCCTCTGCTGCCCCAGCTCCTCCACCTCCGGTCCCTGGGGAAAAATTACACATGCATTAGGAATGTCATATCTATGGCAGATTCAATGAAAATTTTGACATTCTCGAAGACTAATATGTCATTTTTTGCATTTTCATAAAATGTCATTTTTATTATAAAAAATGGAAATGTTTTATGGTCGGAGGTGATGGTACAGGGAGGCAGTACAGACAGTGGGAAAGGCATCCATAATTTTTAAATTATTTTTTATGGATTTTTTCTTTTTTTATTAATTTTTAAAAAACAATTTTAAAAAAATTGATTTTTTATTTTGTAAATATTTTATTAAATTGTTATTATTTTTTACAAATTTATATGAATTAAAACATTTAATTGTGATTTTTAACTACCTTTTACTCATATTTAAAGGAGAGGGAAGAATTGAATGAAACATAAGTATGTTTCCAATAGGACTAGTATGATCCTTTTTTGGAATTAAAACATAAGATGTCCTATTTTTTATTTTTGTCATATTTTTAGTTATATTTAGGGTAATTTCTGTTAAATCTTTTATTTACTATAGATCATAAGTTTGAAGTGTGCATTTCAGCAAAAAAATGTTGAATTCGAAAAAGGGGTTATGAAAACAACATAGTTAATTAGCTCTATAAAGTGCATTTTGAATTCTTTTTAGTGCATAATAAACATATAAATATATTTATAACATCTTAACAACACATTCCTCCTAGTACAGTAACATGCACATTTAAATTACAATTATTGCACATATCAAAATTTTTGTTTACAATAAAATGCACATTTTAAGTAATCATAATAAATGCACCTTTAAACAATAAATGCACTTTTAAAATATAATTAATCGTAATGTGTAAACTCCAATTTAAGGAGCTCTTTTAAAGGAAAATAATTTAATAATGCACATCTTGGAGGGTGTTCCGATTTATTTGGAAACCACTATATGGACCATGCTGTGAATTAAATCAAAACATTTAAACCCCTTTTTTAGGAGTCATGATTAGTTTGTATGAGCAAGCATTTTACAGAATTGTCCTTAGCATTAAGGTGCTTGCTATGGTACCCAACAAAAATAGGAGGGTACCATACCTAGGATGCATTTCATTGGTCCAACTCAAAGTTTTACATTTTATTTGCATTTAAATTATTCAACTGAAATTTTTTTATTGGTGCATACCATCATGGTACCATACCTTCAAGGTACCATAGAAATTGCCTAGCATTAATACGTTTGCCAATATGCTTAGTATTGCCGATACAAGTTCCACTTAATTACACACTACCATCACTCATTTAAATTTAATCTTAACCATAAATTGTATGCAATTGATGGAAGAATTTCATTCTTATTTCTCTCTTGAGACTTCTTTCTCACACGAACCGCTCTCTATACAACTTAATTCAAATAAGAATTCACTCTTATGAGAAAAATAAAAATAACTCACAACCATTTGATCATCAATTCTTTTTAATGGATCATGTATATTCATATTGGGTCCATTCGTAAGTTTTTGGATAATATGAATAATACAAGTAGTTAAATAGTTTTTAAAAAAATACAGGTAATTTTATAATTTTCCATACTCCCTCCGTCCCGGAATTATCTTCATATTTTGCTTTTCGGTCCATCCCAAATTTATCTCATCTTTCCCTTTTTAGTAAAAAATTTGCGGTTCACAACCATTCTTACACAATTCTCTTTCCTCTGCACAATTCTCCACCATACATTTCCCACTATCTTAATATGTGTGCCAATTTTACTTGTGAAGATATATGGGACGGAGGGAGTATAAATATATGATTGTCGTAATGTAATAATATGAATTGTAAATAAAAATCATAGTGAAAAAATATCTAACAAATGAAAAATACCCCATGTTGAATACCATATTCCCACCACATGTCTTCCAGCAAGCTGGAACTTATGTTGGGTGTGATTGTGTCAATGGATTTTCTGGTAATTGTTCATGTGCGATGAGAAATGGTGGTGACTTTGAATATGACCACAATGGTATCTTGTTGAGGGGGAAACCATTGATATTCGAATGCAGCCCACATTGTAAGTGTCATGTTACATGTCGGAATAGAGTGAGTCAAAAGGGTGTGAAGAACAGATTTGAAGTCTTCCGTTCAACGGAGATAGGGTGTGGGGGGGGGGGGGGGGGGGGGGGGTCGGTCATTTGACCTTATCCAAGCAGGTTCTTTTATCGTGAATATGCAGGAATCGTCCTTACAAAGGAGCAAGAACAGTTTTTCAAAATGAGCGACGATAACTTCTATTTTTGCTCCAATTTTTCCACAACTTGACCCGTTCTTCAACCCAAACACCAAAGTAATTACTTATTTTAATTGTAAATCTTTTATTTAAATTTTTTAAATAATTTTTTAGGCAACACATCTAAGATCCTTCCCTAAGTTGAGTACATATTTGTTTTATATTTTAAATATTTGAGGTATCACAATTTACATTTCACAAATGTTGAAGGCATATGTAATACAAATTTATTTCATAGATCTTTCGCAAAGTTAAATACATTTTATATTACAAACTAGAAAATTATTTATTTACAATTTCATGAAAAGTTGTCTGCATATCTATATTACTTCTTTTTCAATACATTACGTATTTAAATCAAATCAAATCACAGCCTAAAAGCCTACAATTCAATCTCCACCCAAAACCCCAAAATTAAACTTAGACTATAAAACATTCACCCAACCCCTAATCCTATCTATCACTCAACCAGTGCCTCCTATCTCTCCTCCCTCACCTATGAAATATAATCACCTTCAACTTCTCATCCCTCGCCCCCATCAATCGCCGCTCAACACCTTAGTCCTCACCATCCGTCGGCGAACGTCATCGATCGTCGCTCAACATCTTCAAACTAGCCAATCGTCACCGATCAACTTTTATCTCTTAATTCATTCGTCGCTCAACCCCTTGGCCCTCTAAAATCGCCAGTAAGCACATTTCACCGTCCTCAGTCATCAATTACAACCCAATTCACTATTCACAATGGTGGCTACTTTAAGTGGCGCTCAATCAGTGAATTCCATTCAAAATGATTTATTTAAGTAATATATTAATAAGATTAGTTTACCAAATCAATCCAGAATACCATATATTGTTGATTCAAGCCATTGCATTCAAGGAAAGAAATATTTTATAAGCCTTGATTTGGGAAAAAAATATAGTATTTTTTTTAAACCGAAA